TGATTCACTTGCTGCACTTGCTGCTGCACTCGTTGCTCCTGCTGCTGCATCTGTGCTGTTAGGTTTGCTTGCATCTGTGCCATTTGCATTGTGATTGCTTGCATCATTTTCTCCATGTCGGAAGCGGTGCTTGTAGGATGTTGAACACCAGCATTTGGCTGTGGAGCAAAGGAGACTTTGTTGTTGGTAGCTGTCTTGGCGGTGTATCTAGGTTGCTGGACATTGTGGTTGGCTTGTGGCTGTGGAGCAAAGGAGGTGTTGGTGGTGGTAGCCGTCTTGGTGGTATGTGTAGGTTGCTGGACCGTGTGGTTGGCTTGTGGCGGTGGAGCAAAGGAGGTGTTGCTGGTGGTAGCCGTCCTGGCAGTATGCGTACTGGTAGGTTGCTGGACATTATTGTGGTGGAAGTTATTGTTTGAATTCTGAGAACCGTTGGCGTTATTGGCTGGCACATGATTTGAATTTGCATTTGGATTTGCTCCGCCCCACATGCTTTGTGGATCAAAAATTGCAGCTTCATGAGCTCTTTCTATGATCTCATCTGCATCAGGATCCTCTTCTTCCTCAAAGTACTCCTTGGTGACAACACACAGCTACTCAAAGTCGCAAATCTTCCCATCGGCCCTCCTGGCCTTTCCAGGTTGAAGGTAGAAACCTCTATGACCCTTGCCTATATCGAAGAATTCCTTCGTATCTTGGTCTTCTTCGTATGTTGTTGGTGAAATGGGATCTTGATATGTAAAAGAACAGTCGAACATGTCGGACAGTTAAGTCGGACATTGGTGATATCGAACACGGACAGAAGTACGGTTCGAGTACATACAGAGATGGATAAGTATTGAAGGTAGATCTACTCTGTGACTAGTTCGTGAAGAACATGTGCGTATGTGCTTTATACGCCGCGACAGCTGGTGAGAGCTGACGCAGACGGCTTCCGGAAGAGATTTTTTGTACCTGCTTGTGGAGATCATTGTTGATCGACTTCTGGCAAGAATAGCAGTAGAATAAGATCTAATAGGAAGTGGTGAGACTGTTCATCCGCAGGTTGAAGCCCAGCATCACTGGCACCTGTTCCTATTGTAGGCAATCCATAGCCGACGTAGATTCGAGCTCAGTATACTCCAGAGGTAGCTAGAGCGTTGAGGCTCTCATTACAGCTACGGAGTTGATTATCTGACAGTCGATCAACAAAGGTAATTTTTGAACATTGCAAAGTAGGAGGGACTACAGAGCAAGATGCCTGGTAGAAGAAACCAAGGCAGAGGCGGTCGAGGTGGCCGTGGAGGAAGATCTGCGCAGCAGACTGGTCGAGGGTCTCACGGCAAGAAGGCCGACAGACCGAAGCAATACCATCCTCACAATCCTGACTTCACTCACGAGCAGGTGACAATATACTTGCTTGAGGCCATCGCGCTCAAGAGCTTGGACTACGCTCAAGATATGATCTGGAGTGTGAGAAATATGGCCCATGTGGACTTTGAGGCTTTAAGAGGCACTCAAACGGTATACAAGCCGGGAAAGAACGACTCCGAGTTCTTCAAAAGTTCGAGACAGGCTCAACTTGATAGGAACTGGGAAAACCTAAATGTCAAAGCTCAAGCTGACCAAGTATTCGAAATCCTTGGTACAGATGTGTTGCATGCGAACAGCAGTGCCCCGAACGGAGTGAGCAACGCACAGGCGGCTGCTCGAACGACATCTTCACGACCGGCTTTTAGTTGCTGGTGTTGCGGAGATACTGGCCATGGAGTCACCTGTTGTCCCAAACGTTCCACACGCCCGCAAGCGGAATGGAGCGACCCAGGACGATACAGCGACGCCTCCACTACTACTACTACTACTACAAGACGAGCGGGGAGAGCCAATCTCCAAGTCCCTGCGACTGCATCTGCAGCGCAGTCGGATGTCGCGTCTAGCGTCACTGGAACGCAATCAACTGGTCAACAACATCGAAGCAATATGCAACGAGCTGTTGTTGACAGGAGTGGAAATAGCACTTCTGGTGCTACGGATGTACCCGGTTCTTATGTGGTACAAGGCAGGTCTGTCGATGATGGACAATCTAATGGTAGGATTACAGGATGGAACCTCGCACAAGTACGTGTAAGACCAATTCTGAAGAAGAAAGCAGTCTCCACTGAAGACAGGGGAGAGTTGCTAATGAAGAAATGGCAAGCACAACTAGAAGCTGCCAGTACTTTCAAGGACGATGACAGCATGGTCAGCGATGGAAGCTTGAACACGCAGATTTACAAGTCGACCTCGAAGATGGATTCATTGAAGCACTGTTCTCAATGGACCAAAGACAACAAGAAACCTTTCAAATCTAATGGAAGTAAGCACTGGGATATCGATCTTGGTGTACATCTTGATTCTGGATCTACGTTCAGCCTACGAATGAACGAAGATTACGCCAAACCGGGCACTGTGTCTGACCTGGATTACATGTTCAACTACGGTACGAACACTGGCCAACGTGACCTGCATCAACAGGTCGAATCAAGTATTATCGAAGGACACACTTGCTTGCTAGACACTGAAGCGCAATGTAACCTTGATAGTTTATCTGAGCTTGTGAAGCTTGGATTTCGTGTCGTTATGGACACTGACATTGAAAACTCCTTCATCGTTACGAAGGGGGAACAGAGAATGAGGTATGTGCATCAAAACGGATTGTATACTTTCGTGCCCGATGGTAGGGCAGAGAGTGATGAAGGGTCCGAATACTCTGAATGTGAATACAGAGAATGCGGAAATGGTGACTGCGACGCGATCGGTGTCGCACACACTGAATGCCATAAATGTGGTGTTATTTTCTGTTGTAGACTTTTAAAAACTAGCTATTCCGATTCCGATTATTGTGGCATACAGACGGTACGGGAGAATATCGAAGGGTTCACTGATAAACAAGTTGAGCGGGCTAATCGCGCACAATCAGTGTATCATATGGCTGGTGCACCAGGAGTGCAAGCGTTTTGTATTGCAGTAAGATCTGGTCTGTTCAGGAACTGCAATGTGAATGAAGAAGATGCAATCATTGCCGAAAAAATATATGGACCTGGTTCTTCGGTCCTAAAAGGAAAGACGAAGCGTCCCACACCTGAAGGAGTGCGGGATGACTGGATAGAAATACCAAAGGAGTTATTAATGCACAATCTGAGTGTTGTGCTGCACATTGATCTTAACAATTCATTTGGACTCACAACCATTGATGGGAGTGTGAGACACCGGTGCTGCATACCCTTGGCTTCACGATCCAAAACGGCATTGTATGACACAATTGATAAATGCTTTCGAATATATAATGCACGTGATTTCACAATGGAAAAGATTTACTGCGATGGGGAGTTCCGTCCGGTATTTGAACCCGTGAAAGACGAACTTGAAGTTCATATGAATTACGCCAGCAGAGGCAAACATGATCCGAAAGCGGAACGAAATAATCAGCATTTAAAAGCACTGTTTTGGGTTCACTTTCACCGAATGCCATTCAAGGCGATTCCAAAGAAGTTAACTGTGGCACTGATGACAAGAGTCGCAAAAATATCCAACTACTATCCGGCAAAAGGTGGGTTGTCTGCATACTACAGCCCGCACATGATTATGCATCAACGAATGGTTGATGCCTCCAACAAATTTGTCGCTGAGATTGGCGCCTATGTCCACGGATATGGTCATGACACCAAGAATAATATGGCTGCTCGAACAATCGAAGGTGTTTACATGGGACCCACCGACGATATTCAAGAAAGGCACCGTATCTATGATCTGAACACAAAGTGCGAGGCACGACGTGCAAAAATCAAGGTTCTTTCGATGACTGACCAAGTCATCAAGATTGTCGAAGAAGACGCACGATTGGAAGGAGTGACGGAATTGCGCACCTATTCCAAGCGTAATGGCAAGCTAATCCTTGATGGTGATTTGCTTGAAGGAGTGGACCCAGATGAACTGTGGGATGAAAACTACGTACCAGTAAACGAAATCGAAAGACTGAGTGATGTAACCCTCCGAAATGAAAATATTCCAGATGACGAACTTGAAGAATTACTAATGGATGCTGAAGCAGACATCATGGAAGCAAGGTTCGACAGGGACAGAAACCCAAGATACGATAGCGAAGCAAATCAATATGAAGATGAGCTAGAGGACGAAATGCTCGACAGAATGTTCAAGAAGATTAAGGCTAAACAAGATGCTGAAGATCTGATGGACAAAGACTACCAAGAACACGAATGGATAACTGCCAATGAGGACATGGACTACAAAGACGAATACGAGTCTGAACTAGACGATGAAGAGAGCAAGCAAATGTTAGACAAACTGGCAGCTGAGTTAGTGGAACTTGGAAAACCAGACAAAGAAGAGGTTCTGTTCGAATTTGATGACAACACACAAGAAGATGTGGAAGTTGAATCAGAAGAGGAAGATGGTGTCGCTCGCGCAGGAGTGAGATTTGCAGACACAGATGATGATGAGTCCAACACCGAAGGAATTGTAAGAAGCTACAGTGACGACGGTGTCGAAGTTGGAGCGAAACGGGTACTTCGCACAAGACACAATCAATCCTACTTCTCACAAGGGGTAAAAATGAGACCCACTGAGAGATACAGAAGAGAGAAATCAAGATTTGGACAGGCATACCTGCAAAAAAGGAATCCGCCTGTGCCAAACGTTTTGAGAAACAGGCGTGCAATGAGAAGAAAAGCACGAATGGAAAGACTCCGAGTCTCGCTGTATCAAGCGATTAAGAAACGAATTGACACGCAAAGAAATGGAGCACAGTTGCAAGGAAACCTTAAGCACGAGCGTTCCATCCGAGAACGCGTGCACAATTTGGCATTCCAACAAGTCGGGAACACAAACAAAGGCGAATATGACGCTGACGAAGCGTTGGTAGTCGCTCGTGTTATTCAACAAATACGCGAGGGTGTCAACGGTGCTATCAATGGGCAAGACGGAGTCTCGTTCATTCAGCAATACTATCTGAATAAAGGACTGAAAATATTCAAGGAGCAAGGTAAAGACGCGGCCATGAAAGAACTTGACCAATTAATCAAGCGCAGTTGCTGGACACCGATCAGTATTGAGAAACTAAAACCGACCGAAAGAAAGAAGGCCGTAGATGCAATGATGCTACTTGCCGAAAAGAATGATGGCGTGACAATCAAAGGGCGCTGTGTATTCAAAGGTAACGAGACCCGTGATTGGTTGTCTCGTGAAGACACTGCAAGTCCCACAGCTTCGCATGAAGCTCTTATCTGCACGGGTGTCATTGATGCCCATGAAGGTAGAAACGTCATGTCAATGGATATACCTAACGCGTTTATCCAAACATTGATGCCCGAGCAGGAAGAAGGAGAAGATCGAGTAATAATGAAAATTACTGGGCTGCTGGTCGACTACATGATTGACCTAGATCCGACGTATCGGGATTTTGGAGTAATCGAAAATGGACGTCGAGTGATCTATGTTGTGATCCTCCGTGCTATTTATGGGATGTTACAGGCTTTGTTGCTATGGTACCGAAATCTGAGGGCATCACTGGAAGAATACTGATTCGTGTTTAATGTATACGATCCGTGCATTGCTGGTCAATGAAAAGCAATTGACTATCAGGTTTCATGTTGATGATGTGCTAGCGAGCCACATGGAACAAAGAGTTCTTGAAGATTTCTTTACATGGATAAATGAGAGATACGGAGGACTAAAGGAAGTGACTTGCACACGTGGACAAGTTCACACCTATCTGGGAATGACATTGGATTATTCAAAGAAAGGCACGCTGAAGATTTGAATGGACGATTATGTTCAAAGAATGCTCGACGAGTTTTCTGTCAAGTTTAAAGTGGATGACAAACAGGAAACACCTGCTGGCAATAATTTGCTGGAGGTAGGAAAAGGAAAACTATTGGATAAAGATCAACAGACCGAGTTTCACCGGTTTGTTGCAAAACATTTGTTTTTGACCAAACGCGCGCGTCTGGATATGCATCCGACGGTGGCAATTTTGGCATCACGAGTTCAAAATCCAAATCAGAGTGATTGGCACGTTGAGCGCTGACAACCTTCCTGTAATGAAGTGGTATGTTGATGCGTCTTTTGCGGTTCACCCTGACTTCAAGAGTCACACAGGAGGAGTGATGACCATGGGTGGTGGAGCCATGCAGGCTATGTCCAAGAAACAGAAGTTAAACAGCCGCAGCAGTACACATGCAGAACTAATCGGAGTAGATGATGCGATCACACAAGTGATGTGGACACGCATGTTCATGGAAGAACAGGGTTATCCGATTGAGAAGAATATCTTGTACCAAGACAACATGAGCTCTATTCTCCTCGAAAAGAACGGGAGATCGAGTGCAGGAAAGAGAAGCCGCGCTTTGAATATCCTTTTTTTCTTTGTCACTGATCAGGTTGAGAAAGGAAATCTTACCATCGAACACATGCCGACCGATGACATGTGGGGGGATTATATGACGAAACCTTTGCAAGGGGAACAGTTCCGCAAATTTTGGGCATTGATCCAAGGGGATCAGGAAGATTAGATATAACCTTCTTGGGTTATATATACACGTTACATATTATTGCAACTGGAGTCGTCGATACGACAGGAGTGTGTTGGTGAAATGGGATCTTGATAGGTAAAAGAACAGTCAAACAGGTCGGACAGTGAAGTCGGACATTGGTGATATCGAACATGGACAGAAGTACGGTTCGAGTACGTACAGAGATGGATAAGTATTGAAGGTAGATCAAGTCTGTGACTAGTTCGTGAAGAACATGTGCGTATGTGCTTTATGCGCCGCGACAGCTGGTGAGAGCTGACGCAGGCGGCTTCCGGAAGAGATTTTTTGTACCTGCTTGTGGAGATCATTGTTGATCGACTTCTGGCAAGAATAGCAGTAGAATAAGATCTAATAGGAGGTGGTGAGACTGTTCATCCGCAGGTTGAAGCCCAGCATCACTGGCACCTGTTCCTATTGTAGGCAATCCATAGCCGACGTAGATTCGAGCTCAGTATACTCCAGAGGTAGCTAGAGAGTTGAGGCTCTCATTACAGCTACAGAGTTGATTATCTGACAAATTGGACGGGGCTGGGACGGTGGGCTTATGTTCGTCTCCAAGGGAAAAAGCTGCAGGCGCAGGGGGGTGATGATCACTCCGGCTTGGTGCTAGACGTAAACGAGGCGGTCCGACGCCCGATTTCATGTGATCTAGTGGTTGTCTTGGCATATAGGCCAAACAGAGAAGGTACGGGGGAATCGACCGTGTGGGCACAACAACGTCTATACTTTAACTCTATAAAACGTAAGATTGATCCGCGCAAAGCATTGGCCGATGACCTGTGCAAGCAAATTCAAAAATGGAGGGACAAAGGTTGTGAAGTTTTGCTGGGGATCGATGCTAATGAAGACCTTTCGGTCAACTCCCCGGACTCCATACGACAGCGGTTTTGTGAGTGCGGACTGGAGGAAGCGATTTTGAAAAGGCATCCCACCACGGCGACCCACCAACAAAATCAAAGCAACGTTCCCATTGACGGAATCTTTACCACGTCCGGTGTTCCGGTTCTGGCTGGCGGCTTGATGTTATGGCGACTGACTTCAGCAATGCTGGACATCATGAAAGAGTTTCGATCAGTGCGAGATTATGTCGGAGCTGGGCCTTGGGAACTGTGGAGGTTGTCGATTGCCACGGTGACATCGGCCTCGGGAGTTGGTTGCGGAGAATCAATGACGCGGTATGCCGTAGCGGTAGGTAAGTTGTTGGTGGGAGAGATGTCCACCGCAATGGGTCGTGTAGAGGCACCGTCGCTAGTGGTTCCAGATAGTAGCATGCCGTCAGAGGAAAGGGAGATGGTTTCCTTGGAGTGACAATGAAGGAGGGAGCTGGTGCTCAAAAGACGTTGGTTGGCCGAGGGAACTAGAACGGCTGGCAGAATCAAGGTACGGAAGGTGTTGGTGGTGGTCTTGAACGTCCATGCGACATGTCCGCATCCGGTGACCTCAATGGGGCCTCCGATCCCTTTGGTGCTGGAGTTGGGAGGGGGGTGAAGCTTGCCGACAAAGTCACGCTTGTGGGGTGTGACACACACCGAGGCTCCAGAATCCCAGATGACCGGAAACGCTGGTTCCATGTCGGCAGATGTCTCGGAGAGGAATAGGTGATCCTGAGCGAACTCGGCGATGGAGGTAGCAATAGTCGTGGTGGCGTTGTAGATGGACACGGTTCCATGTTGATTGATGAGGACGGAAGGTGTGGGATCAGGTGGGTCAGAATCGTGCGCATCGATCTCACTGAAGCAGCTGGTGGAGACGGAGTCATCATCCCAGCTGGGGAAAGAGGCAACCGGGGAAGGGGACGAGATCAGATCCGGGAGAATGGGAGAGAGGTCGCCTTGTAACAGCTGTTCCGACATATGCTGACTGTGTTGAGTTTGCCAGTTCCACTGGTGAATTTGATCGATAACCAGGAGTCCTCGCTGTTTGCAATGTTGTTGATGCTGAGCCTGAGCCTTGAAACCGGTGCGGAGCTGTGTGAGCCGCATTGAAGAGGCAAGCTGGTGTAGCTGAAGGGATCGGAGTCTCCGAGTGTAGGGCGACAACCAACGGCGACGACGTTGCGATTTGTATTGACATCGGGGGCGTGCTTTACAACGGTGGAAGTTGACATAAAGGTGGCTGAGTTCGGTGGGAATCGCTGAAGCCTTGGAGCCGCTGAGGCCGGTGGATACCCGCCGCCATTGGCATCGGGAAAGAAGATGGGCGCGCGAAGGTTGGTAGCGTGGATGACGGAAGGAAGGGAACTGCATAGTGGGTTTGGGACGGCGCTGCCGATGGTGCAGGCGGGCAAGATGGCGTCGAACGTGGCGGGGAAGGGGAGGTGCAGGGGTACAGAGGCGTTGGGGTCCGATGAGGATGAAAAATGCAAGGACCAGCCAGAGCCAAAAGGGTAGAGCGGACCAGGAACATCGGTGCTCAGCAAAGATGGAAGGGAAGGCAGAGCCAAAGGCGCGAAATGCAATGGTAGTGGGATGGTGGGAGACAATAGACCACAGGTGAAGAAAACCTCGGTTGGCCTGGGTAGCCAGAAAGGACAGAATGGGGAAGTCTTGGACCATCATGGAGGCTTGCGACAAACCACGGTTGGTGTGGGTAGCAAGAAACGGAAGGAGGAATCGAAGCCCAAGGAAGAGAGGTGGCAGGAGTAGGGCAAGTGGACGCCAAAGCGATGCTGGGCGAGATGCAGGCGGATGAAGGCGATAGGTGGGAATCGTAGTTTCCTGGGGAAGGACGGAAGAGGAATCATCAAGAACAGAGTCGTCGTCAGACTCGTGATCCGAAGTGCGGTCCACGAGGGAAGGAGGCACGTCATCATTGTCAGAGTCGTAGTCGACGGCAGGCCCATGCATGGCAGCGGAGTCAGAGTTGGTGAAGGAATCAACTGGGACACACCAGTGTTGAATGGTGACGTCGTCGCGGTCGATGGTAGGGATGATGGTTGCATCGTCATTGTCGTCAGTGACGGTCTCAACAGTAGGAGAGTCGAGTGCAGATGTGGTAGTGGAGTGAGAGTGGGGAAAGGAGTCAACAGGAACACACCAGTGATGAGCGGTGACAGCATCGCGGTCGATGATAAGGATGGTGTCGTCGTGAACATCGTCAGAGACAGTTTTGACAAGAGCAGGAGGAGCGATCACGTCAAGCACATCCTGGGAGGTGATACCAGAGGATACGTAGAAGTTGTAGTCGGCGATGTTGAAGGTGCCAAAATCAATATCCGGTGGCAGATCGGTAGAGGCAAGGTTGGCGGCGGTGGCCGTGGTGCTGGTGTTGTTGTTGTTGTTGTTGTTGTTGTTGTTGTTGTTGTTGTTGTTGTTGTTGTTGTTGTTGCTGTTGTTGTTGTTGGTACCGGAGCCATGTTGATGAGTAGCGTGGGTGTTGGTGAAACGTTTGCAAGTCTGGCACCAATCCATGTCCTTGCCGTTGATGTTCTTCCTGAAGTGTGGAACCCCGTCCACGGTTGCAATAGGAACGTCGCCGTTGGCAATTGAGGGTTGGACCCGCTTGGGATTGGGAGGTGCGTTGCCGGTGCGGTCACCATTGCGATTGTTGTTGTTGTTATTGGTGTTGTTATTGGTGTTGGTGTTGGTGTTAGTGTTGGTGTTGTTTCCTTGTGCTTGTTGGAGCAGAAAGGCACGAAACTGTTCCTTCAGGTGCTTCTGGGTCAGTACGTTGTTGGCTTGCAGGGCGGACGGAGTACGAGAGTCGAGAGGGGTGTTTGCTGGGGGCCACTTGTGGTTGTTGAAGAGCTGAAGGTAAGACTTTTGGACTTTCATGAGGACTTGACGGTAGTGAACATCATGTGCCACCATGTAAGTGGTAGCGCTAGCCGCTGATAGTCCTCGGATAGCGATGAGAGCATCGTCCACACGGCTGCGAAGAGTCATAATTTGGCTGCGGAAGTAGAGGGTGTCGGGATTGCTTGGATCGGTTCCACCACCGGCATAGGAAAGAGTGTCGAGCATCTTGATGGTGTTGTCGTGATTGTAGTCCTCCATATCGTCAAGTTCTTCTGCCATGTTGAGGAAGGTGGCAACGATGGCGTTGACATTCTGTTGTGGGTAGCTTGTGACGGCAACCTTCCGAAGCTCGGATTCAATGTTGCGTTTGCGGTCGATGTTGTTGTCATAGAGGAGACGAAGGAGAACGTACCATACAACAATAAACCCATCAGTGGTGTTGTGGAATAGTTCAACTTCCTTTCGAAGATCTGGATCAATGGCGTTCATGAGTAAGTGTGCAGCGTCCCTGTCATTGGATCTGCAGTAGCTGTCATACGTCGGGAGAATCTTGGTGTATTCAAGCTCAGCTTCCTCTTTCGTGAACATATCGGAGCTTGTCACAACGGAGATCTGCAGTTTGCCAAAGTTCCTTCTTGAATCTAGTCATCTTCGTCTTCTTGGTGATCGAAACGAGGTCCGACGTTCTGCGGTAGGTGGCGCTTTTCATTGCTTCATAGCCTGTGGGACGCAATTGTCCCGGATGTTCCATGGTATTGGAAGCTGAAGGATCAAGGCCAGTACGGGCCGGATTGGATTTCCCTCCAGTCCAAGCGGTTTCGGTGCTGGAGCTGGTGCGGACCTTGTTCCCAAGAGTTGGAGTTGTTGGGCTGAAGAGCACGCCACTTGTTGGTGCTGTCGCCCCAGATAGTGGTGTGGGTCCAGCTGGTGGAGTTGGTGGAGTTGGTGGATTTGCTCCTTGAGCCATGGTTGGTTGGATCGTAAGGAACGATTGGGGCCGTAAAGTAAGAAAAGGAGACTTCTGGTTCGGTTGGTTCGGGTGCGATCGCTCCCTCTGTTTCTGCTATTTCGTTGATAACACTGTTGAAGACGTGAAGTAGATCAAGTGGTTCGGTGTGCCCTGTTGTGTCGTCGCTCGGTGACGGCGAGGAAATGTTGGTTCGGGTGCAATCGCTCCCTTTGTTTCTGCTGTGTCGTTAATGTGGGAAAGCTATGCGCTCGATGTTGGGAAGAAGCTATGCGCTCAATGTGTCGGATGGTTCTGCTGTTACGTTGACGTTTGGAAAGCTATGCGCTCGTTGTTGGGAAGAAGCTATGCGCTCACTGTGTCGGATGGTTCTGCTGTTACGTTGACGTTTGGAAAGCTATGCGCTCGATGTGGGAAAAAGGCGATGTGCCACCCGGTGGAGGATTCTTGTAGGTTGAGATCCCTGATTTGTTTGTGTTGTATTCTTGTTGGGAAGCGTGTGGTAGTTATCCGATTTGGGCTGTAATAACCAGTCAGAAAATATCTGTAGACAGAGCTGTTATGTATTTGGAGCGAAGTAGTTTGATAGAAGTATAAAACTTGAGAGACAATAGTTTGATGTAAAAGTGCAGATTTACTAAAATTGTGACGATATGGCAGTGAGAACTTGTTGAGTTTAGCGACGTCTCCGATTGCTAGACTCCGTGTTCATAGGTTCAACTGCCATTCATCGTGTTAACTATTCGCTTATTTCAATGTGTTCAAACAATCACATGAAGATTGATACACCGAAAGTTCAACGGTCTGTGTTGAGTATGTGAATTTTTGGTTTCACACGAAAATGTGGATCGTGGGATTTTCGTTTGTAGATGACACGTGTTGTGGAGTATCACACGTGTTGCATCGGAATATATATTCCGACTTTACCCAACAATACATTGTCGTTGTTCCTTGATTACTACATACTCATCAAGCCATCTCTGAGAAGACTCCATCCAGCAGAAGAGACATGGCGTCGCTCCAGGTAAGGTTGATTGTGATATGTTCTTGTGATCATTGACCATGTTGATGAAACAAGTCGCTCATGTCTTGATGTGGTGTGCATTCAACCAACATTACATAGTCCTCGTTGCTTGATTACTACAGACTCATCAAGTTGTCGTTGCTTGATTATCACAGACTTGTCAAGCCATTTCTGAGAACAATCCATTCAGCAGAAGTGAAATGGCTCATCAACGTAAGTTTTATTGTTGGATGCTTCCATTGTGCATCATGTTGATGAAACAAGTCGCTCATGCCTTGATATTGTTTGCATTCAACCAATAATACACTGGCAGCGTCACTTGATTACTACAGACTTATCAAGCCATCTCTGGGGCGAATCCATCAAAATGGCGTCGCTCTAGGTGTGTTTAATTGTTGTATGTTGCGTTTGTCAAGGGGGATTGTTGGGATATGACGAAATATGAGTTTTTACGTTCCGAAAAGAAACTATTCAAGTACAAAGTTTTCGACATGTACGATCGGAATTTGATCGTGATGTCGGGATTCGACACAAGTATGCCGGACGCAAGTCTGTCGGACAATCTACATCCACACAAAAAGGGAATGACCCTATACAAGTGAGATATTGCTGTTGTGTACAATGCAGTAGGGAATAATACAAGATGTCCCAAAGTACTGCATCCAACACAGAATTGTCGTAGAGGTCGAATCAAGTTCTGTAAACAAGGGATTTTCCAAGGGAAAATTGTTGAACTTATTTTTGTGATTGAATCATCAATTCAAGCCAAACATTAATCAAATAGGAACAATTTCACTCAAAGTATACCTAGACACAAGAGAACTATTGTCGTGAAAGTGTTGTACAATCGATTACAAATTTAGATTGCAGAGAGTTTGTTCTGAGCGCTAAAGGCACTCACGATAGAGCACATCTTGCTTTATTCTAAGATTCAATCACAAAAGGCAACAAAACACTGCCTTATCTACAAAGGAGTGAGTGATTCGTTGACGATGGGACGTTCTTCATCCGGTGGTGGAAGAGGACGTGTGACTCCTCAGAAAGTCAAGAGCAACTCGAATTCAACAGTTGTGAAACATCTATTTTCAACAAAAGATGCAAACAATGGAAAGGCAAGATTGTAGTACGAAGGTGCCAAGGAAAGAGTGATTGACTACATCCAAGCTTCTGGAATGAAATGTTCAGAAGACATGGTGAAATCAATTCGAGATGGAAAGTCGATCGACTTCAATGCGATCGCTCCAAGATTGAACGCTCCAACTCAAACTGAAGCTGTTGCAAGAGAAACAGAGATGGCCCAAAACAAGATTCTCTATTCTGCAAAGCTCGACGAGAATATGCAAAGATCAGCCTACTTCAAAACAAACCAGCAAACTGTGAAGTCAAACATCATGCTCAAGTTTGTGACAAAGGCAATGGATATCAAGCTTCCAGGTGAAGCCAATTTCACAACTACTCTTGAAGATCCAATCAAACTCTTGAAACATATTGAACAATTCATGAAGAAGAGCGCCGATGCTGGGTATGACTTCTTGTGACTACCAGATCCTGTTGAAATTGCTCTCTTGGAGACCATTCATTGGAAACTCCTTGATAGAAGAATTTTGCGACAAAGGTGATGGATATCAAGGTGAAGCCGATTTCACAACTACTCTTGAAGATCCGATCAAACTATTTAAACGTATTGAACAATTCATGAAGAAGAGTGCTGATGCTGAGTATGATTTCTTGGATTTCTGGGAAGCGAATCAAAAGTTCTTTGCTATGAAGCAAGGAACAACGGAAAACTTGATACATTTCAAGGAACAATTCTTGAGACAGGCTGAAGTCCTGCAAGATCTATATGGCGTGGCCTGGTTCCGAGATTTTGCAGTCAAGACGAAAGCATATGCTGCTATTGCTAGCACCGATACTGCTGCTCAAAACAAGTTCAAGGATGATATCTTTGAAGCCGTTCTTGCAACAGGATTTCTATGCAACAGCGATCAAACGAGAACAGCTCCTCTGATGCTGGATCTTCAGACAAACTATTGCAGAGAAGTGGATTATTATCCAAAGACGGTCAGCAAAGCACAAGATATGTTGAAAATTCACATGGAAGTGAGTAAAAATCCGGGAGTGAACCTCTACCAAGGAAAAGACCAACCTAATAAAGGTAAAGGTAAAGGAAAAGGGAAGGGGAAACCGAAGGATGGAAAGAAGGCAGCATGTTATGTATGTGTGGCAACAAAGACCATATGTCTCCAAAATGCCCAGACAGACTGCTACCAAAGACCCAATGGAAGAATCAGGATCAATATGTTGACTATGGGAAGAAGTTCAATCTTAATCAGATTGGAGCAACTATCCAAGCTACTGTTCCAGCTATAGTTCCTGGAGCTTCAGCTGCTTCCAAATGGTTTGTTGTTGACACAAATGGTTTGTTGTTGACACAAGACCAGCTGCCGTCACTTCTGACAGAACTTTCATGCTTCGGATCTTGGAAGTATTTGAGACATCGAAAATCGCGGTGCAATAAGCCCTCAATTTTGGATTCACTCTGCGATACAAAAGCATAGAAATTGTAATTGGCTCAGAGGTGCTTGAACATCATTTCAATAGGTAGTTTAGACGCATTCGTTTGTTGATTGTTTCCTCCTCCACCAGCACGGAATAAAAACCGTTCTTGTTGATCATTGAAGATGTTCCATGGGTGGCTGACTTCTCAGACTGCCAGTACGTGGAGAAGTACCAAAAACCGCAGTAGCAGTCCTTGCATATCCTGGCAAATGTACAGGCCGGTGATGTTCTGTGAGCATACCAAGGTTGGTACGGGTTTTTTCTGTACAATTTTGTACCATCATAACTCAAAATCGGCCGGCGCTGCACCAACACAACAAACACATCTGACCACAGCAATGGTATTCGACGTCAATTGATTTCAATCTCCAGTCGTCCTTTCAAAGAGCAACCTTGCTCATCACCTTCTGAAGCCAATCATCATACTGTTTGTTGTTTGTTGGGCACAGTGATTCCTTCCTATCCATTGCACTAGGAATCCATTGCTGTTTCCTCCGGTTTTGAAAACAGTTTCTGTGTTTGTTGGTTTTGGTCTTGACGCAGCGAGCCCGTCACGACAATTTCTAGTACTTCATTTTATGTACATTTTGACGTGCCAATCCTCAAGCGGTATCCAACTTTTCCCACTTTCCTCCTTCAGCCTAGTATTGTAGGGCTGCTACGCTGCCCCAGTACCAGAATTTTCGTACAATCCAAGACCGATTTGAAAATTCAAATTGCATAGCAACATCATGTCGGCTCCAAACATCCCACAACCATCTATCTACATCCCACAACCATCTTTCTACATCTCCAAATTTGAACATGGAGTTGCCAAAGGTGCTGCCGGACTCATTGGCAACGATTCTCGTGTCAGACAAATATCGGTTTCCAAGAGTTTCAATGAAAATAGGAATAAGTCTGACAGCGTTTGTAGTCTCCTTTTCATGCCGGTCGTCTATATTCCTGGTGACAAAATGGACAATCCAAAATACCACAATAATCCTACTTTAAACTTCCTTGAACAGGACCCAAACCACAAACGGGCTATTTCCGATTGTTATCAGCTTCAAATCGGAAGGACGGACCACTTGAGCTTCTCCAGTCTCTTAAGCAGAATGAACGCTCCCACTCTTGATGGCGACAAGGCCCTTGCCGGATGTTGGTATGGAACTACACTAGGAAACCCACATCCGGTTTTATACAAAATGGATCCTTTGTTAGTATTATCTGGAATTCACTCGGCAACTTTTGTTCCACTGCAGGGTTGCTTTTCCCTTGTCTTCGCCGCTCCAAAATGTGAAGACAATTCCGAACATTCCCACAGTCTTGAAGACTTGCCGAGATTTGGATCTGTAGTTGGGGTGGGCCCTGAAACAAATTAGCTTCGAGTCAATTGTCTTCTTGACCTCAGAGAAACCCTCAATCTTGTCACTGTCCGCAAGAGGCAACAGCTTCTCACAGACAAGATTGATAACTTCTTGAAGGTAGTTTGCTTCAGTTTTGCTGCCATCAAGCCACTTCATTCCTGGTCCTGTTTTGCTGAACCCTAAAGAAAACCTGGCACCACCAGGGGCAACTCCCCCATCCTTTGATGGCTCTTGGTTCCAATCTAGATTCATTCTCTGGGGGCTCCTCATGAAGAAACGAGCTGCAAGGGCTATCAGTCTCATTTCGCTGTACCTTGCAGTCAATTGTTTGACAAAGCTGTGCTGCCGTCT